ATGCGGGGTCTACAATAGAAGTCGTAGCAGTCGTAGGGTCTTAAGTCGTAGAAATTGACCAATCACAGTCGAATATGAGAAGAATAATTAACTGTGATTGGTCAATTTTCTAAGACTTAAGACCCTACGACTGCTACGACTTCTATTGTAGACCCCGCATCACAGGGGAATGCTCGACTGTAGTTGGTTGGTTTTTGCATTCTGATCCGGTTCGAACCCTCGGTGGAAACTAGGCTGTTGACTGGTAACTAGTTGACTGGTTCCGGGAGTATAGTGCGGTTCATTGTTCGTGATTGTTACGTGCGCGCGACACGGTTTTCGTTCTTCAGACAACATTTCTTATCAGCCCTTACGTCGATATGGCTTGGCTGTCTGGCCTTGCTGATAAGGCAGAGAATTTGTTAAATAAAATTGACAAAAATACCGCGGCCGTGTTAAATAAAGACAAATACGAGATGCCACAAGGTCATCTGTCAGAAGTTACATGGCTCTCTCCAGAATCTAGGTAATTACGTTCATATCTCAGGTTATTACTGTTAAATATTTGGATTAGTCCATTAGTCAATCAGTTCGCGAAATGTCATTTCCAAATTTCGCTTTACTTATATACAACGTAAAATATAAATAAATTTATTTTATCGAAATGTTACATTTGCATATAGCTTTCAATAGGTTTTAACATATTCCTTATGGAAAAGCAACTAATGAAAAAAATATATGTAATATTAAAAATTATTAATAAAAATATTTTTCTTTTAATTTAGATTAAATGGAAGTACGTCCAAAACACCTTTATTGGGATCATCAGATCATATTCCTTATGCTGCTCCTACTTCAAGTTTGACATCGGTGAATCTATTAAATGTAACGACACCTAAAGAAGACGCGTTATTTACATATTTAAATACACCTAACCCGAGTCCAAAGAGGATAGTGGAATCCTTTAAATCACCATCAACTACTTCATCGTTATTGGTAGAACATCCTACAGATGACACAGATTCGGATCTATCGGTTCAGAGTGATCGGGTTAGTCCAACTCCGTCTCATGTTTCAATTGAAATGATTCCTAATATTTTGGATGATAAAGATCCCGAAATAAATATGGAAAATTCAAATTTGTATCCAAGTAATGAAGTACAGATCTTAGATTGTGAAAATCTAGATAATCCAACAACAGAAACTATACAGAATGGTATATCTTAATTTTTATATCATATATTTATAATGTATCATTTTATACAGATATTTTGCATTTTTATATTGCAGAACATAATAATGCAGAGGAACATTTAGATGTATTCTATCCCCAGCCCATATATAAAATAAAATCAAACAATGTGAAAACGGATAATGTAGATAATCCAATTGATTTAGCAAATAAACAAAAATATATAAGAGAATTGGAAAGACATTTGGAGAAGCAAAATGAATTCCTTGGAAAACAGACGGATTTTCAAAAAGAAATTGTAGTTCTAAATGAAAAGTTGAAAGCTTTGGAAATAGAAAAGTTAGAGCAGTCAAAGCAAGTAGTAGATTTACAATCCGTCATTGACAGAAACAGACAAGAATTAAACTCAATTAGATCTGAATTGGAACAGCATAAAGCTAGGGCATTAAAAACTTTACAAGAAAAGGAAAAACTTATAGCAGAACTGAAAAGCAATGCACCGACAGCTATGGATGAAGCTACTATCATGGAATTGAATCAATTAAAGTCAGTAAAATCAATATCAGTATTTACAAGTTTATAATTTTAATATGCGGCAGTCGTTCTATGAACATAATCTATTGTATTAAATCACAGACAGGAACGTGACAGTGTTAGGGAGGAAAATCAGCAAATGTGTCAGCAGCTGAAAATGTTGAGGGAAGAGCTGGTAAATGCAGATCTGAACTTGGAAAAGGTAAGACAAAAGTTAGCCGAGACAAATCTACAAAATCAAGAGATTCTTACTAGTGAAAGACGCCGAAGATTAGAAACAGAAGAAGACATGAGATTGCATTCTGAGGTAAATTACATTTTATTTGGATACAGATTACATCTCTAAGTTATTGTGAATTAATAAATCAAAAAGGTTAAAAATAAAAATGTTGTTTTTAGGAAATAAGATCCTTGAAAGATGAATTAATTAGTCAACGTAATGGATTTAGTTTACAGTTACAAAAGCAGAATTCAGAGATTTCTAGGCTTAAGTTGCAGCTGTCAGTGTCAGCAACACCGAGTAATGAAATGGATTCGAGAATAGCATCTCTTACTCAAACTCTGGTTCTAAAACAGCAAGCATTGGAATGTTTGACGACAGAAAGAAATGCGTTACGTCTCCAGCTTGAGAAAATCGAAGTAAATATGATAGCTTACAAATTTTTATTAGAGAATATTTTTTTCTGCAATATATTGTTCACAAATAAACATCAAATTTTGGTAATTTTATTAATAAAATTTAGCATTATAAAATATTTTTTTCTAAAAATTAATTTTTAGACTTTATGTATGTATATACTAATAATAGCCTTCTTAACAGCATGAATATAGAAATGCTGCAGGCAATTTACGAAGAAACATATCGTATAACAATATAAACGATACGGACGATGCAAAAGCTCAAGTTCCTACGTTTTTAATGGAAACACCGTTTGATACCAGCGTTACTAGAAGAGTAAAAAGAGCTTATTCTTTATTGGATGCCATAAGCATTCGAACGGGAGTATTCTTAAGGAGGTATCCATTAGCTAGGATTGTAGTATTGATTTATATGGTAAGTACGTGCATATATATTAATCGTCATTTATATTTAAAATATTGCTACGAAACGTATATATTTTTGTAGGTACTGCTCCAATTGTGGGTCTTGATAGTTCTCCTTTCTCAATCACCGGAAGCTCATTAATAAAAATTAGAATAGCAGATAGCATCTTAAAACAAAAAAATATATTTATAAAAAAATAAAACTGTGAATATCGGATAGCAATATTTGCAGGAGGCAGATTTAGACAGACCTTACACAGTTTAATATAGCATATCTTAATCTATATAAGTTGTTAAATAAAAATTTTAAATAAAATATATAGTGATAAATCAGTGATAAAATATTATGATTGTAAAATTATCTTTATTTTTTACTACATAAAATGGTATACTGTTACAAGACTACAAATACGGGCAGCATTAAAATAAGTGACGAAGAAAAGTGTAAATAAGTTATATGTATAATACTACTTTGTTTTTGTAATTTAATCATCAATTAT